GCTCGTTGTCTTCTCTGGACCTCTGCCTCAACGGAGCAAACTTATTTAGACCCAAGAGCTTGTAGAAGCATCGACGTAGACCTTAAAATGTCGATGTCCCAGTCTTAAACAACATTGAAGTAAATTGTACTTTGATGTCACTAGGTTGCGGCGCAAGCACGTCGATTTCACTAGGTAGACTCGATCACGCCTAATCTGGAGTTTGGTGCTTTCTAATCCCGGAGTTTTTTGTATCGCATGTGCGAGAGAGGAGACCATTGTCCACAGGGTGTGGCATTGCCCCATTCGGTTCAATTCTGGAGACTGCTCAGTAAAGAAATAAATGGTCCCATTGCCATTAGCTACCTAAACACATAGATTCGGTGGACAACATGCGATCGTGGGTACTATACTGGTTTGTGTGTGCAGTAGAGGAGGAGAAACAAATTGTTATGAGGGCGTGGTATGAGTTGTGGCTTGCGCGCAACAGTCCGTGGGAGAGCAGCCGGATTGAGGATCCGGGTTCGATCTCCGAGAGTGTTGTTCGCCTTGGTGAAGAGTGGAGAGCGATCATAGAGTCTCCAACAAACTCACCTGTGCACCGGACCTTGGAATCCTGGAGGAAACCGGAGGAGGGCTGGACAAAGGTCAATACGGACGGGGCAGTGGCTAAGCGGGGCGGATCAGGAGGTGGTGGAGCTGTTCTTCGAGACTACCATGTCATGTTTGTGGCAGGAGCGTGCCATTTTTCCTAGCTGCTGCCGATCCAAAGACTGCGGAGCTATTTGCTTGTCGTCGAGGTGTTCTTCTAGCACATAAAGTTAACGCCCAAAAGGTAATGGTGAAGATGGACTCACATATTGCTGTGGGTAAGATCACCAGCCAACAGCGGGACTTATCAACGAACGGACAAGTTGTCCAAGAGATTAAGGAACTACTAGCCCAGTTTCAAGATTCTAGGGTGGTATGGGTGAGTCGTTCCGCAAATAAGGTAGCGCATATCCTTGCTAGGGAAGGTTGTTGTAAGTCTTATGTAAAACTTGGTTTCATGTGGCTCCGGATTGTGTTAGCTCGGAGAACTCCATAGAGGAGGCTATGAATAATGAATAAAATAACAACGTTTTTCTCTAAAAAATATAGTTTTTTTAGAATAGTGCTTTTTAATAGCTAACCTGTTCGTTTCTGGTTTCTCTAATTTTGTCGATCACGTTCGATTTGGAATTTGGTATCCTCCATATATGAGTCAGATTTTTTCTACCTTCCGGTTCGTTTCAGAGTACGTAGAGAATCGATTGAATGCCTTGCCGCGTGAGGTTTTTCAAAATTGTTATCTATTCTAATATATGTGTTTCTTTTTCTTTTGAGCAAATATATATCTTTGATTTTTTTAAATCTCTGTTATATTACGTTCTAATCTCTTGTTGTATATGGTGAGCCATCTCACGTAGGCCTAGGTACCATAAGTTAGAGTTATCAATTTGACTAATTTACATCTAGATGTTTTTTAAGGATGTCACATCTAAGCTCCCATAAATACATAATGCAGCAACAAAAAACAAAAAAAAGACAAAAAAATAGACCACAAACAAAATGAATATCAGCTTAGATGTGACATAACTATGTCACATCTAGATGTGTCCTAGACAGACGCTAGAGTTATACTAGGCATGGATATTTGGAATATCAAACAAGAAAGGCTTATCCTACAAGGACTCTGTTGGTCAGGCTATTGTTTTGACCGAAGGATTTTTTTTTTGGTAATCACGTGTTGGAGTAGGACTTCTACCTGGGTACCTTTGTCTCAAAAGAAGAAGAAAACTGGGTACCTGGCCCAGTATATGTTCCTGGACATATTTCCTTCCTTCAAAATATGTACATGGCCCTGTTTTGGACCAATGCCTAAAGATTCAGGGATATTCTCTTGGCATATAAATATGTGATGAAGGGCTTCATTGTACTAACACCTTATTAGATTGTAGATCCCCAGTTGCTAGGGTTTGGCACTGTCATCAAGGGCAGGGCAAAAGCTTCTGAAGTTGAAGGAACTTCCAACAGAAGTTATTGACAAATTAAGAGACCTCATCAATTTCCAAAAAGCATCCAACATCAAGATCGCTTGATCTGATCCAAGAAACCACCGCGGAAGTGGATAGGTGGCAGGAGAAAAGTAACTCGACTTGTGAATCCACAAGCACACGTAAGTATCTTGAGCATCTAAACATATTCAAGGTTTTCCTCTTCCTGTGTTGTACTGTCCAAAGGATTTTCTTGGTGAGTTACTTTTTCTACTTGTGTATTGTGGTACATCAGGCAATTCAGGCCTCTTTCGGTTCATAAGGTAGGAAAATCATAGGAATAGGAAAGTCATAGAAAATGAGATGACATGTATCTCAAATCCTATGAGTAGGAATAGAAAAAAAGATGCTCTTTGATTCACATCATAGAATTTTTTCCATTGAGTCTAGGCTAATGTTTATTTTCCTATGAAATGTGGAGGATATGAAGAATTCCTCCACAAGAATAGGATTCCATTCCTACAAACCAAAGGCTCTAAAGGAATTTTTTCTATAGAAATCCTATCCTATGAAATTCCTACAAGATTCCTCTAAACCGAGGCCGTTTTCTTAAGAAAGAAAAATAATTGATTTTTGGATCTGGATCCATTAGGGCCTTATTTGAGTTTTGCATCTAGATCGATTGTGAACTTGTTTGAATATGTTTAGAGGATCGTAGCCTATTGAAAACCTCTTGTGTTTTTATACGACAATAAAATATCTTGAATATCTCTTTACTAAAAAATGTATACATGGCTCTATCTTGCGTTTCTTTCTTTCGTCCGCTCTCTTTTTGCCTCAACTTGCTCATGCAGTTTTTAGATTTGTTGATTTTGTCTGACAAACTTACCTTGAAAACCACCTCAACTAACCCACGTCTTATTCACTTACGTAATAAAATGGCAATAAGGATTGATTTAATTTATAGCTAAAATTTATTTTTGTATGCATAATAAAAAGTTCGATAAATTACAGTAATTGTGCATAGAATATTGTCCCATAGTTACAACATGTAGTTCTCGGTGTAGGCTGTTTGTCGCGACTCACTCCTAATTATTCTTGCGTGTGTTGTGTTGGGTACTATCTGTCGTACCCGATGTGTTCTACCTCACTTTTATTTAAAATGAAAATGGTTCGGGCCGGCGTAAGCCCGCCGGAGCACCGGAAAAAGGGGTAAGATTAAATACTTGCTCTTGGTTGTTAAGAAAACCTAGCCTTTGAGGAATTTTACTATGTTACTAGCTAATTACTCATGCATTGCAAGGGCTGCATACATATTCTAGTGGTTTAACAATCATGTTCGACATAAATCTTACTCCTATGATATGCCTTGATAAGATCTGATTTTGTTTGAGTGGGGAAGGCAAGGAAAGTTTTGATTTAGTTGATGTTCTGGTAAATTTGATTATTTCATATGGGTAGAAGAAGGTAAGAAACTTTTTGATTTAGTTGAGGTTGTAAGATTTTGATTTGATTTGATTGAGTCAATCTCTACTTACTTAAAAATAACGTAAGGTTTCCATTTCACTTTTTTTCCCACAACCTATTCGTTCAACCTTCCATGTACATGATAATCAATCACCTTAATTTACTTACCTTCTGAATCAGTTTCACCTTAATTTACTTACCAGACTTATAATCAAAATATAAGGTAATTCACGGTCAGAATTTGATGAACATTTATTTACACAATCGCATTATGATTGACATGTAAATCACAATCTAATGTACTAGAATATTTATATTCCGTTGTAACGCACGTGCATTGTTCTAGTATAGAAAAAATTACATAGGGGCGACAAAAGGAGGTGAGACGAACGTAGTAGAGATAGTCAATTCAACGTAAATCGCCAAAAAACAGAAGTTGAGAGAGAGACTGTTCACATAACAAGGTCATTTTTTCTTGTGAATTAGACAACAAGGTAATTAATTGAGTGAACTTGCATGTGTTGTCCAATCAGATGTGGATATATTTTTGACAGTGAGGGCGAGTTTTCTAGCATTGGCAGAAAATCAACATGAATAAAAGGATAACAAACATAAAAAAAAATTAGAGATTGTTTAGGTTTGTCCTGTTCACATGGTATAGATCTTGGAGGAGTCCTCTCCAATATTCTTTCTTCCTAAAAAAGTGGAAGGATAACTACCAACACCAAATCTAAACTACTAATTGTCTCCTAAAAGCTAGGGATACCCAATAGGTAGGCATACAAATAGGAGTAGATTGGTTTCCTCCTCTGATTCAACAAACAAGTCTTGTACAAATCGGACTCTCCCCCTCCCCTCCCCTCCCC